ACATGGGTTCCTATCTTACCATTGCCCCCCACTCCCGTACGTGCCCGCCCGCCCTCCCCAGAGTTCTGCGTCCATGGGTTGTGCTTACATGCATGCACACAAGTCCTTGGGTGGATCTCTTATCTCCCCCAGATCTCCCTCCCCTCCCCGCTGTCATTTGCCAGTCTGGTTGTTGCTTTCTGGCTCTGTATCTATCTTTTGATTCATCGGTTTATAATGCTCCTTATTATCCATAAATGAGTGAGGTCATGTGGTATTTTTCTTTCATTGACTGGCTTATTTCACTCAGCATAAGGTTCTCAGAAGTGCCAACATTAGTTTTGCAAGAGGGAAAGGGGAAAATGACCTTGGTGCATGGAAATGTTTTCAGATTCGTAGCTTCACAAGCATTCTTGGCCTAGCCTCTATTTCTCTCTTGTCCCATGGCTTTTCCACCATTTGTGGGGGGGGGGGGGAGGCAGAAGGAAAGGGGGTACATTAATATAGTTGAGGTGTCTGGTTACATACACATAGAACAGTTTGTGGCAAACCTTGCACAACAGTTAAGATTATCTCCACTAATATAATTCCTTGGTTGAGGTGTAATTAACAATAAACTGCAAGTATGGAAAATGCACAATTTGCTGAAACCAGTTTGGCTCAATGGATAGAGCATCCGCCTGCAGACTGAAGGGTCCCAGGTTCGATTCCGGTCAAGGGCATGTACCTTGGTTGCAGGCACATCCCCAGTAGGAGGTGTGCAGCTGATCGGTGTCTCTCTCTCATCAATGTTTCTAACTCTCTCCTTTTCCCTTCCTCTCTATAAAAAAAATCAATAACATATATTTTTTTAAAGAAAATGCACAATTTGATTAAACCTAACATAAACACTGTTGAAATCATCCTCATAATCAAGATGATAATCATTTCATTTGCCCCAAAAATGTTTCCTCTATTTGGCTCTCCTACCTACCCCAAATGGCAGATTCTGCTTCCTGTCACCTTACATTAGTTTGCAATTTCTACAATTCTGTGTTAATGAAATCATACAATACATATGTTTTCTCTGGTTTCTTTCATTCAGCATGATTTTCTTGGGAGTCATCTATTTTGTCCAACCTGTATGAATAGTTTGTTGCTTCTCATTGCTAAGTACTATTCCATTGAATGATTATATTACAATTTATCTACTTTTGAGAGACATTTAGATCGTTTCTAGTTTGGGATTGTTTCAAATAAAGCTGCTATGGGCAATCAGGGGCAAGTATTTGTATGGGCAAATGTTTCCGTTTCTGTTGGGTTGGTATATAGGAGTAGAAAAGTAAGGTCGTATAGTTGAGTGTGTTTAACTTCTTAGGAAACTGCTAGGATGTTTTACAAAGTGGTTTTACAAAGTGTTCAAGAGCTGTAGTTGCTCTACATCCTCGCCATCACTTTTTATGATCCGTGTTTTTAAGTTCAGACATTTTATGTATAGTGGTGTCTTTTTGTGCTTTTAATTGAATTTCTCCATTGACTAAAAATCATTGAGTATCTTTTATTTCCTATCCATATAGCTTCTTAGGTGAAGTATCTGTTCAAAATTTTTCCTATTTTTTTTTTTGTTTGTTTTCTTGTTGAGTTTTGCAGTGCTTTATATACTGTGGATAGAACTCTTTCAGATTTGCAAAGATTTTCTCCCAGTTGTGACTTTTCATTCTCTAACAGAGGGCATTTCAAGAGCCTTTGATGAAATACAATTTATCATTTTCTGTCTTTTTTGTCTTGATTCTAAGAAGTCTCTGGCTGACCCAGAATACAAAAGGTTTCCCCTATATTTTCTATAAGTTTTACATGTTTAGGTTTTACATTTAAAGTCTTTTTTGAGTTGACTTTTATGTAAGATGCAAAGCATTATTTCTTTACATAGAAAGCTCTCCACCCCCAATCCAACACCCTCGAGATCTGCCCCTAAGACATATTTCCTGCCAATACATTTTAACCAGAACCTGCAATTCATTCAGATTGTAACGAATCCTAAAACAGGTGTGGGGAGCCTTTTTTTTTCTGCCAACAGTCATTTGGATATTTATCACATCATTTAAGGGCCATCCAAAACTATCCACTTAAAAATTAGCCTGCTACATTTGGTCAAACATTGAATTAACTCACCCCGAATGCCTTGGCACAGCCAGACCAAATGATTTGTCGGGTCTTATACTGCCTGGGAGCTGGACATTCCCTACCCATCACATAGGCAGGACTGAATGTCCCCCACTAGGGAATGCTGAGATCTGATCCTAGTTATCAGTGTGAAGTCCATGAGAGGTGGCAGGAAGACAAGTGTCACCTTACAATGCCAGTGCCTTCAAGTCTCTGCAAGATCTCCAGGCAAGCACAGGCTGCTGTCCTCTAGCAAAAGCAGGGAAGCTGCTTCTGCCCATTCAAAAGTTCAAGAAAACCCAAGGGTTCAAGATCAGGCTCACCAACACGAATGTCCCCATCCTGTGTGTAAGCCTCGGACTGACCTGCTGGCAAAGCCGCAAACCAGTCCCAGCTCGGAGGGCACAGCCCTCTAAGCATAATTAAGCTTGACCTCATGAGCTCCCTAGATCCTTCCTGGGTAGCTAATGGGCTGTGGGAGGGGCAGCGAGTGCTGCCAAAACAAGTGAAACTTGTAAGGACATTGTAAATCACCTTGTTTACCTCTGACTATAAAATAAAGCATCAGTTTGCAGTCTGGATCTGTTCTGTGGCCTCAGTCATGCACAGAAGATCCACCTAGACCCAGCTTATTCTCTTTGTCTGTCTTTTCTTCATCCTTCGCCGGCCCTCCCTCAGGCTCACAGAACCCTTGGCTGATTCGGGGTGGAGTCTTATCCTGTCAGCTGGTGGCCTTGGTGGGAGGGGATAATCGCAGCTGGGCATCGCTTCCTTCGCAGCCTTGGCCCTTTCCTACTGACTGTGGGCCAGCTGTCAGCGCGGACTGTCTGCATCTGCGGGAGACGAGACAGACATTCCGTAAAGGGTGCCATCGAGGCACTCTGGCATTGACGGCATGCCTTGAGGTAAGCGGTTAACGTGAACCTATGTCATTTTCCTTGTTCAGGGTTTCTAAAAATCTCCGTCTTTATCATCTCCACCAGTCCTATCCCACTGTGATGCCACCGCTACTGTGCGGCCTACCATGTTACCTTCCACCCGCACTTCACCCAAATCCGGTGCAGTAACTGAGACGCTTCCTGCCAGGCGTGATCAGCGTCCCACTCCCCCACACCAGCGGAGTCTTCATTGTCATCTGTCCAGTGAGGGATCTGGCCCCAGAACCCCATCCTAAAGTTTTGTTAAGTGCGTTCCCGGTACCCTCTTAGCCTGGTTTGACCCCACCGCCCCAAACCAACACACAGCCTAAGACAAATGTTAATGCCTACAGGTAATTTATTTGGAAAGTGACCTTAGAGAACCTGTTTGTACACATATTCCCAAGAAAAAGCCCCAAGCCTGAGAGGAGGGCAGGGAAAGACCAAAGAAAAGAGGCAGGCCGCTGGAGTCTGGCGATTAACAGTTTATTCAGGGAAACGTACACACCAGGTATGGCTTGGGGAGGGCGGCTGCAGAAGGATTACACAGAAAAGGGCCAGATGGATGCGGGTGCTGGTTCGTCATGGGTCCCGGGTGCGGGGAAAATGCCGTCCGTACTTGCCTGGTCAGGACAGTGGCCTGTTCCAGGAACCAGCACAACAAGAGAGGCTCTGGTTTACGTCAGAAGGAAAGTGCCGATGGTAATCAGAGAGCCTCTGAGAGGGCTTCTGGCGGCTCCATCGTGTGGGTCTGCAGCGGTCACGTCATCCAACAGCCTCTCCTCCGCAGAACCACAGCGAAGGAATTGGGAGTGGGAAGAGGGAAAGAGAAAGCTAAAGTAAGGACACATTATGAAGCCGGCCACTGTTTGGGGTGAACTGGGGAAGTTTCTTTTTTTTAACTTATTTTTTTATTAAATTATTATCTGTGAACATATACCATTGCCCCCCCCCCCCAATAGATGCCCTCCCTCCCAGAGTTTTGTGTCCATTGGTTGAGCTTATTGACGGGGGAAGTTTCCGAGAGGCATCTCAGGACCGCCTTCCCAGCAGACAGACAGACGAGGGAGTGTTTATCTATTGGCTTCCCCCTGGGGGCTGGTCAAGGATGGTCCCAAGGTCATTCACTCCCCCAGAACTTTTACACACGTATGATGCCAAGGGTTCCAGTGCATATCCCCAGCCACAGTGTCAGAGAATCCCTGGAGGGTCTTGGCCTGGCCCCAGCACAGACGCCGCTGAGAGTGTCTCACAGCAGGGCTGGAGGGCGAGGCAGGGCTCAGAGGCTTTGACGTGGACACAGAGGTGTCAGTGCAGTTACATGCACAGTTAACAAAACCCCTAAAAACCAAGAGACACTGCTAGAAAATGATTATATGATTTTGAAATAGCTTTTATTAAAAACATAAATCAACATTACAAAGTTGAAAAAAACAAAAAACTGATCATTTTAACTTACTATTTTGAAACAGTGGCCCCATATATTTGTTCAAAAACCTCAATCACAACAATGTGAGCCAGAAACATTGATCAGCTGCCTCCTGTGCACACCCAGACCAGGGCTCGAACTGCACCTGGGCGTGTGCTGACTGGGAACGCAGCCGGTGATGTTTCGGTCCACAGGATGACACTCAACCGACTGAGCCGCACCAGCCAAGGCCAACTTTACTTTTTAGATACATAGTTTGAAAACGTTAAATTATGATAGACTAAATGGAAAATAGTCTCATTTGTTAGGAGAGATTAAAAAATAAAAAATATATATAGACAAAATAGTAAATCATAAAGTTTGATTAAAGTAATATAAGGTATTTCACTTATTTAAATTAAGAAAACATCCAAAAAGGCATTTTATATACAATCAGAAGTAAACAATTTAAAAGGCAATGAACTAAATCATATTTAAATAAACACACAAAAATAGATATATTTAGATGATGGTTTTAATTTCCCCAATAATCTTCATGAAGGTTTTGTTTTTGATGGCACTGGTGCTTTTCCTTTATGCTTAGCAGCCTTTTCCATTTTTATCTGTAAATGTAAAACATTTGTTGGTAGAATAATTTGTACAGCATTCTAAAGAAAGAAAAGGTTGGACATACCTCACTTGGATTCATGTTTGACTTCCCACAACCACATCACACAGTCATGTAGCAGATAGTAAGCTACTGAATACTAATGCCAAAATCTGAGAGGTGAAGGGACCTGATTGCATTTAAAAAATACGGTTTGAATTCAACTTTACAACTTTAATAAAAAGAATGTATAATAAGTACTCCTTTGGAGAAAATGAATAAACATCATTTTAAAAGCCATTCCATATTATTTTCTAAAAGCTGAGATACCTAACCTCCCATCAGCCTAAACACATTCACTTACAGAACACACCTAAGCCAGCCGAGCTATTTCTGGAATGTGGGCTGCTTGAAGGGCAGTTTCCTGTCGTTCTCATTCCTACATGTGCACAGTTCCCTTCCTGAAAGCTACTTCTCCACTGAAACTGCAGCAACGAAGCTTGCATACCTTAAGCAGCAGCCTTCCCACCTTTTAGAAATGTATAACCCTTTCCATCGTTGGGAAAAAAACGACAACAAAAACAGAGAACACAAAACCCACCTGCCTCTTTTTTTTTAATATATATTTTATTGACTTTTTACAGAGAGGAAGAGAGAGGGACAGAGAGCCAGAAACATCGATGAGAGAGAAACATCGACCAGCTGCCTCCTGCACACCCCCCACTGGGGATGTGCCCACAACCAAGGTACATGCCCTTAACTGGAATCGAACCTGGGACCTTTCAGTCCTCAGGCCGATGCTCTATCCACTGAGTCAAACCGGTTTCGGCCCCACCTGCCTGGTACTGCCACTCACACACACCCATCCCCAGAGGCAGCACCACGGCCTCACTCCGGGCAAGGGAAGGCTGAGGACAATCGGGGCGTGGCAACTGCAGGCAGGGCCTCCTATACCCTCTACGTTGACAGGAATACACTCTCAGGAAACCAGTCTTCCCAATCTCATCAAGTTATAAACAATGACTTCCTAATAATAAAATTGGATGAATCTCATCTGTCTCTTCCCGCTTTTCCTTCTTGCTCCTGTTCCAGTTGATTGAGTGCCTTACTCAGAGGCCATACCCTCATATCACGCTTGCACAGTGTCAGTCACCAGGACATCTGATGGGCTCCAAAGGGGCACCCTATTCCAAGGCAAAGATTACAGGCTTTGGGGTCAGAGGGAAGAGAACTCAAGCTGCCATTTATTAACGATACGAGGCAAGTTATTTAACCAATAGTTTTCTCATTTGTGGGGAAAAAAGGTCATAGTAATAGGTATATCTCAGGGTTGTTCTAAAGGTGTAAATAAGATCGTATATATAAAAATCAATGCCCTAACCAGTTTGGCTCAGTGGATAGAGCGTCAGCCTGCAGACTGAAGGGTCCCAGGTTCGATTCCGGTCAAGGGCATGTACCTTGGTTGGGGGCACATCAACAGTAGGAGTATGCAGGAGGCAGCTGGTCGATGTTTCTCTCTCATTGATGTTTCTAATTCTCAATCCTTCTCCCTTCCTCTCTGTAAAAAAACAATAAAATATATTTAAAATAAATAAATAAAGATCAACATACTTAATAAGCACTCAACAAATACTAGTCTCCTTTCCTCTCTCATTTAGGACCAAGTGTTAGGTTTATAGCAACATTAAAAATTAGGAAAGATGCTAAACACACAAAAGTCAAGGAAGTGTTTGCTCATTGAAACACATGCACGCCTCGTTTCACTGTACTTATCTTTATTGTACTTCACATATGTTGCTTTTTTTTAACAAAATGAGGCAAGACCTCCGCCAGCAAAAACACCACTGCTCACTTCATTGCGGTACTTGGTTTATTGTGGAGGCTGGAAAACCAAGTCCGCAATAGCTCCCTCCCAGGTAGGTCTGTACAAGCACAGCATGACTCTGTAAGTGCTCTAAACCCATCAGATCCCATTCTCTAATCCCCCCTTTTCCCTTAATGGGGCCTGTCTTGCTTTTTTGGAATAACAGAGGAGTACTAACAACGTGTACAGCGTATGTCAGCTCAGAAGTAGTTTAAGTCTGAGCTGCTCAGTTTTTATACTCTACTAATCACACAGGCTGGAGAGTTTATAAGCTGATCTCCTAAATCCATAAATCACACAAGGCAAAGAATTATAAACGACATCTCATAAATCCATAAATTCTATGTCTAGCTATAATAAGCAGTCTGGATGGTTATAATAAGTAGCCTGGGTGGGCCAGGTATATCCTCCAAAACATTCACAGATAAGAACTCCCCTCCATTATCTTCCCACAAGCAAATCCCACTGGCATGTTTTCAAGGCAGCCCACACTACCTGGACTTCTGGAGGAAGGAAGGAAGAAATTCTGGAACCCTGTCCCTCATAAGCATATGAGGAGAAACTAAAATTCAGCTGTTAACGTGTGTGTTTCAAGAATAGAGCTTGGCCGAGATCAGTTTGGCTCAGTGGATAGAGCGTCGGTTTGGGGACTGAAAGGTCCCGGGTTCGATTCCGGTCAAGGGCATGTACCTTGGTTGCGGACACATCCCCGGTGGGGGGTGTGCAAGAGGCAGCTGATCGATGACTCTCTCTCATCGATGTTTCTAACTCTCTATCTCTCTCCCTTTCTCTCTGTACAAGTCAATAAAATATATTAAAAAAAAAAAAAAAAAAAAGAATAGAGCTTGACTTGATTAAAAATTTACCCTTCATGATGTCACAAAAATCACCTTTTCTTTTCTCTGATCGTGTCATCTCCCTCCTGGGTTCCTACCTTGCCCTTTTTCCCTTAAACCAGAGCTGTCCCTTAGACATGTCCAGGAAGGAGCCACTGGCCCCATGTGGCTAGAAATGTGGCTAGTGTGACCGAGGAAGTACATTTTTATTTATTTAATTTAGAATGACAGAGTCACGTCTACAACACAGATACAGAACATTCCCACCCTGTGGAAACTTCCATTTCCTAGCTCTGCCTTAAGTCATACGGGGACTCTCCCCGCTACTTCAAATTCTTCACCAGGGAAACCAAGCTTATCTATGTCCCCTACTCACTTGCTCTTCTCTTGGAAGGCAATTTATATATTAATAGTAGCCTTCTTTTTCTTCATCTTTTTGTCTAAGAGTTGTTAGGACAAAAAGTGACAAGAGTGTCTTTTCTCTCATGGCACTTATTACCTCGTTGGAGGGATTAAAAATGCCCGCAAGGCAACTATAAAAAAATCCTAAAGAAAGCACTTTGAGGAATGTGCCATAAGGCTGGCTAACACCCCCTAAACCTCATTAAGCCAACATTCTTTCATCCATCTATAAACAAAAAACAAAACTCCCAAATATAAACACTGCATGCAACACATCAAATGTGTAATCAGATGACACGTGTGAAAGGAGTATCAATGATGTTTATTTTTTTCCACAAATGTTTATTGAAATCATATTATGAACAAGGTGCTGTACTTAGTTCTGATGAGTAAAAGACCACACTCAGCCCTAAGGAATTTACAGTGCGGTGGAGAACTGATGAACACTATTGTTCCTGAAATTCAGGAACACTTTAATACTGTAGTTGTTGAGCCCTAGAACATGCTAAAATGCATGTATGATTCATGTTCTGTTTCTTAAAGGCTATTGGGTAATTTTAACTTCACTATGGGTATCCCTAGAAGTCGCTAAGAAGAAGAACCACTACGTATTTTATGAATTCAAGACACACGTCATTTACAAATCTGCTGATGGTTGACGGTGATTACTGACAATTTTATTTGTATATTTAGTCAATCTTAATGAGCTCCATAAATTAACGAGTGTATTATCATATTACTCATCAGTCCTGTTTCTCTCCGAATTGTTCTAAATAAGCCCCATGGCCTAACACCATCTATAAGTAAAGACTTCATAAATTATCTTTCAGGACAATCCACAATCAGCATTTGATTGTTCTATGGTGTCTCTGGTACAAGTAAGTGCTTAATATAAGCAGATTTCTCCACAGACTTACCCTTTCCTGGTATCGTCTTTCAAAGAAAGCCATGTCATCCTCCTCTGGCCTTCTTAAGGAAGAAACTTGACTACTTGTACCTACTAATGAGAAAATAAACAATTCTAAGTAATATATTTCCATAATTATAAATTTTCCTGGAATAAAAACAGAAAGAAAACTTTCCGCCTATCTGGTGATGATTTTTTTCATTTTTCAAGCCGAAATGGCCTAAATGGAGAATTGATCCTACTACTGAATTCTTTTTTATAAAGCAGAGCATCATAACACAAAAGTAACTTTCACTATCAAACGTTCAGCAAATATTCAACTGGTTCATATTAAATAGCACAATATAGCTTTTTCATATAAGAGCTCTAGAGCAGGTGCTGAAAGAAACTTGTAATTGCCTCTGAAGGAAAATCTGGTTTTCTTTATAGGTACACCAAGAGCCCAGTTCTATGGGAAAGTTCACCTTCGTTTCAGGTGAATGTCTTGGTTGGATCCCTTCACATCCAAAATAGAGTATCTATCTGAACACCTGTTCTCGTTTTTAAAACACATGAATGGCCCTAACCTGTTTGTCTCGGTGGATAGAGCGCCGGCCTGCGGACTGAAGGGTCCCAGGTTCAATTCCGGTCAAGGGCATGTATCTTGGTTACAGGCGCATCCCCAGCAGGGAACGTGCAGGAGGCAGCTGATTGATGTTTCTCTCATCAGTGTTTCTAACTCTCTATCCCTCTTCCCTTCCTCTCTGTAAAAAAATCAATAAGATATATTTTAAGAAAACAAAACACGTGACTGTACCCTCAACCAGCAACACAAAAACCATGTAATTCCCAATAAACACCACAGAGTATAACCACACTCTGTCAACCTAAAGGATCAAGGCAATTAGTCCACCTGAGGGCTTTCTTACTCAGTCATCAAAGCAATAAGGTTTTAAAACTTCAAATTATGGTATTATCAGAATCCCCTTAATACTCAGATTTAGTCATTTTCCCCAATAAAAAATAAAGTTTCTTGCTTTTTCCCACTGCCTGGCCATTATAAAATAAAAGGATAATCAAACTGTGGATACTGGGGGCAAAGAGAGCTTATCAATGATTTAATCTGAATTCTTATTTTCTACATTCAAATGTATTTTTTCAATTTAATTCCATTACCATCTGTGAGTGCTTCTGGGGCAGTAGCTGATGCTTGAAATGCCTTTAGCAATGGGTGGTCCATGGCTGTCCCTGGAGAGTCTAACAGCTCAGGCGAGGGTGCACCTGATAACGAAGCACATGAAAAGTGAAAAATAAACCTCTATTTGTTAGGACACAAAGAAGTCATTGCAAATGTGAAATAAATGAGAACCTATCAGAATCATCAGAAAAATACATTCTGGCCTGGCTGGCGTGGCTCAGTGGTTGAGCACCAACCTATGAACCAGGAGGTCACGGTTCAATTCCCGGTCAGGACACAGGCCCAGGTTGTGGGCTCCTTCCTCAGTGTGGGGCGTGCAGGAGGCAGCTGATCAATGATTCTCCCTCATCGTTCTTTCTATCTCTTCCTCCCTCTTCCTTCCTCTCTGAAATCAATAAAAATATATATATTTTAAATCCATTCTATAAAAAGGAGACTTTTGTTTTAGATTTTTATCATCCATATAAAGTAAGGGCAGAAGGGTAAAAGTGTTTTTAATTTGACAGAAAGAATGAAAAAAAATAAACATATATATATATATATATATATATGTATATATATACACACACACACACACACACACACACATATATATGAACAAATGTGATTAAATGTCAGCGAAGAGTGCAAAATGTTAACATAGTTATAAAACACTATCAAAAGCAAGATTTGCAATAAAGAAACTCTAGCTTAAAAGGGAAGAATAAGGGTGTTTTTACTCTATCCCTCACTCGAAAAACAACTACAGAGAGTATTTTTTTTTTTTAAGTAAATCTTCTTCAATGAAATGAGGAAACATCACAACCCAAAACCACAACCTAGAAAGACCAACTGCTAACTGATGGACTTTTAGGAAGGAAGTGCAGAGAAAATGTATGCATAAGTGCTCTGTCTCTTCACAGCCCTCCCCTCCCCACGCCCCGTCTCCATCCTGTGGGCAGAGGGAAAGAAAGTACACTTCCAGTCCTATTTGGTTTTGAAAGTTAGTCCTTCCTTATAGCGAGGCAGGCAGCGTGGGGCAGCTGCTCAGTGTTTCAGATGCCCCCTCTGCCCGCACCCCTCTGTCCTGTGGCCGGGGGAGCACGGGAAGGGGTGCTCAGGCCCAGCCAGGCCCTGTGCCTTCCCTGGTTGCTCCGTGCACTAAGACCTCGAACGGCGAGGCTGACCTGAGTGGCCATCCAGGCTCTCAGCTTGGCAGCCTCCCTCTGACTCTCTGATGCCTGCCACTTGCTCTGCTGAATCCCCAGAGCCCAGGGACACACACACACACACACACACACACACACACACACACCCCTCCGCTCTGTGCTCTGTGGTCACCTTGCCCCTGGCGATGACAGGCCCCGGCCTCACAGCCTCACAGCTCAGTGCCCAGCTGGGAATTCCGGACTCCCGCTGCGACACTGAGAAGCCAAATCCCAGCCGGGGTCAGCTCTTCCAGGATCTCTGTGGCTGACCAAGCAAACACCCCTTTACCTGGATCCCCTACAGCTAAAGTCCAGACAAAAGTATTTTATGTTTCCTCCTCACGCTCACCTTTCTTCCTCTCCCCTCCCTCAAGGGCCAAAGGGGGCAGGGCTTCTTTATATTATAAAAATGTTTAAAGGATAAAATACTAAGAAAAATGTATATATTGTGTCTAGTAATAATTAATGTCGTTTTTAAACATTCGTTTAAAATCTTGCTTGGCGTTGTCTTGTATTGACATAACCTTCAAACACGTGGTATCTACAGAACATGTGAAGTGCAATTAACAAGTTTTGCTTGAAAAAGTTTGTGTTTGATTTGGTTTTTGTTGCAAAACTAGGGCTAAGAAGATGGCGGATGAAGAGCATATTCGGCACTGCATGCTTTACGAGTTCCAATTAGGAAGAAAAGCAAGTGAGGCTGCAAAAAACATCTGTAGCGCTCTTGGTCAAGATGCAGTTAGCGCCAGAAAATGCCAGCGTTGGTTTGAGAAATTTCGCGAGGGAAATTTTTCGTTAGATGACAAGAGTGGTCGAGGCCGTGTGTCCAATTTTGATCAAGAAGCTCTTCAAGCTCTTTTGGTGCACAATCCTCAAATTACCCAACAAGAGCTTGCGACAACTTTAAATTGTTCACAAAAAAACAATTTCCAATCAATTGCGTGCACTTGGCAAAGTCCAAAAGTTTGGAAAATGGGTTCCTCATGAGTTGACCGACAACAACCGTAATCAAAGAGTCACAATTTGCAGTTCGCTCCTCTCTCGTCAAAACCGTTTGCCGTTTTTAGAGCAAATTGTTACCGGAGATGAAAAATGGGTGCTGTATGTTCATTTGAAAAGGCGGCCTCAATGGTTGGACAAAAATGAGGCTCCGCAGCCCACGCCAAAACCTGACTTGCATGCGAAAAAAGTGATGTTGTGTGTTTGGTGGAATTTTAAAGGAATTCTTCATTATGAACTTTTACCATCTAATCAAACCATTACAAGTGCAGTGTATAGTGCCCAATCGGAAAGGTTAGCCCAAGCTTTAAGAGAAAAAGAACCCGCGCTGATTAATCAGAAGGGTGTAATTCTTCACCACGATAACGCACGACCGCATACTGCAAGAATCACTGCTGAAAAACTGCACCAGTTGGAATGGGAAGTTCTCCCTCAACCTGCATATTCTCCTGATATTGCCCCTTCCGATTACCATTTGTTTCGTTCTTTGCAAAACTTTCTTCTTGGAAAAAAATTTAATAATGAAGAATGCCTCAAAAATGCATTGACCGAATTTTTTGCATCAAAATCACAAGAATTTTACAACAGAGGGATTAAAATGCTGCCTGAGCGTTGGGCACAAGTAGTAGAAAACAACGGCAACTATATTGTTGATTAAATTTTGTTGTAGTGTTTAAATAAATTCGATTTTAAAAAAGTATTAGAAAACGACATTAATTATTACTAGACCTAATAAATTTTCTGTAATAACCATCTATTGTGTAGTGGCAATTAAATCTTTTTTTAGCCAAAACATGTTTTGCTCAATGGATAGAGCATCGGCTTGGGGACTGAAAGGTCCCTGGTTTGATTCCGGTCAAGGGCATGCACCTTGGTTGCGGGCATATCCCCAGTAGGGGGTATGCAAGAGGCAGCTGATCGATGACTCTCTCTCATCGATGTTTCTAACTCTCTCTCTCCCTTCCTCTCTGTACAAAATCAATAAAAAATATTTTTTTTTAAAATCTTTTTTTTTTTTTAATTAAAATAAGAGAATGTTTTCTGGGGAGAAAAAAACATGAAGAATATAAAGTGCTGAAACCGGTTTGGCTCAAAGCATCAGCCTGCGGACTGAAAGGTCCCAGGTTCGATTCCAGTTAAGGGCATCTACCTTGGTTGGGGGCACATCCCCAGTGGGGGGGGGGGGGTGCAGGAGGCAGCTGATTGATGTTTCTCTCTCATCGATGTTTCTAATTATCTCTCTAACTCTCCCTTCCTCTCTGCAAAAAAATCAATAAAATACATTTTGTGTGCTAAACAAACATAAGGCTTCACTATCGTCCACACCCATAAAAACAGCATGACAAGCTCCCTCTTCCGCGTCACTTACCCACTCCGCTGTCATCTAAGCGCATGTAGCCTTCTGCCAGGGAGCTGAAGCCGGTGAGGCCCCCCATGGCCGCATAGGGAACGTCCCGGCCCACGGGTTTTCCTTGAGCCAGCCTCTCTTGCTTCGTTTCCACCACTGTGTCATGGGCATACGCAGGCTGGCCACAAGCACAGGTGAAGCAACTGTGGAATCCCGAACACTTGGAGCCTGAATCAAGGTGCAAAGGGAGGTAAGTTCTTAAATGTAGGGGCTGAGCTGCCTGCTCCCAAAAGGCCAGTAGACCCAATCACCTGAATCTGGATTCCTCGTGTGCTGTCCTCCAACCCTGGTAACTCTTATCTCCAGACCGTGAACGCCCTCCTAGCCACTGCTCTTAGTTCTAAAAGATCCTAAAGCAGTAATGATGCTAGCAGGGGGGGAATTGGAAAAGATGAGGACTAAAAGAAATTGGGCTGAACGCTGGAGAGCCAGGAAGGCAGGTGCTTTCCTCAAACACTGAGCTAAAAGCAGGTGTGGTGGGGACAGCAGTGGCCAGGTGCAGGTGAAGAGGTCATGTGAAAGCCTCTCTACTCCCCACGAAAGCCATGCTGGAAGCCAGCACACAGACGCAGAAAGGATGCGACAGAATATTGTAAAACAACGAAAGGGGAAGAAGGCCCGGGACGGATGGCTCAGATAGCTGAGCATCATCCCATCCACCAAAAAGGTTGTGGGTCCGATTCCCCATCAGGACACATACCCAGGTTCCGGGTTCGATCCTCAGTCAGGGTGTGTGCAGGAGGCAATTTTAAAATAAAATTTTAGAATAGCTACCCATCAAAAGCTTTTAGTTGTTTCATAATGACAATAAAACTGGCACAAAGATGCCGAAACCAGTTTGGCTCAGTGGATAGAGCATCAGCCTGCGGACTGAAGGGTCCCAGGTTCGATTCCAATCAAGAGCATGTACCTTGGTTGCGGGCACATCCCCAGTAAGGGGTGTGCAGGAGGCAGCTGGTGAATGTTTCTCTCTCATCGATGTTTCTAACTCTCTATCCCTCTCCCTTTCTCTCTGTAAAAAATCAATAAAATATATATTTTTAAAAACTGGCACAATGACACATTAAATGTCCAATAAAGAAATGAAAGCACTGTGGGTGAAGTTGTAATGATGTCACTCACAGGCGCTGCACAGGAAGCCGGGCTTGGCGCTGTGCTGGTCGGCGAAGTGCTTGCACCGGCAGCGGACGGGCTGCGTGCCGTTCAAGGGCACGTACAGGTACGCCCTGCACGGGCAGCCGGGCACCCGGCAAGGCAAGCTGATGGGGCGCTGCTGCGGGACCGTCTCAAAGTCAGTTTTATGCTGTTTGTACCTAAAGGGGGGGGGATAAAAACACAGTGCAGGTGATGTCAGAAATCACTGTGTCTATTCTGTTAAATACAAAGTGATTCTTTTTCACTTTATTTCTGTTTCATCGTTCTTGTCGGGAGGTGAACATAAACTCCCCCACTTGCAGTATTTCTGGCAACTACATTGTTACTTTGATCAAAGAAACTTCATTCTTAGATTTTTATTTTTAGTGACCACAGCAATATACAAGAAATGTTATAAATATTATGTGATTCTCTTAAAGTACATACCACTACAGATTTTTTTTTAAATGAAAGCACAATCTAAGAGTAGGGAAGGCCACCCATACTCTTATAAATTCTTTATAAAAATCCTTTTTATTAAAGTGCATTACTTGAATTTATTTTTATAGGTTAAAATACTAAGTAATTTTCTTAAATAGACTACTCTCTTCCTTCTCATAAGGTGGTATTCAGTAAAATGATATTAAATTTATTATTCTCAATATTAATCTAGGTCAGTGGTTGGCAAACTCACATCAATGTTTCTCTCTGTCTTTCCCTCGCTCTTCCACTCTCTCTAAAAATCAATGGAAAAATAGCCTTGGGTGAGGATTACAAACAAACAAAAAAAGAACCAATCCCATTTAATGTCTTAAGAAATGTAAATAGGTCCATCCTTTAACCCAGAGAGCTCATTTTTTAAAATATACCCTATGGGGGAGGGGGGAGGCAATGTTAAAATATGTACACAGATAATAATTTAATAAAAAATAATAATAAAAAAATGAAATAAAATATACCCTAAGAAAGTTATTCCATGTTTTGTGTGTGTGCATAATATAGTATTAGCAACAGTGCTTACAATAGCAAATATATATGTATACACCCAAACATATATAACCACACACACACACACACACACCCCACTAATAACAAAGGCATGATTAAGTAAATTACAAAACAATACTATCAAACTTTTTACTAGTGAAATCCTCCCTTCAAATAAAATCTTTTACAGACCGTAATATATAAAACAGACAAAAGCAGAATGGGTTGAAGCAAGGGAAAGAGCCAGAATTAGAGTCCGCCCTTCCCCTAACCTACCCTTCCACCGGGTCTGCCCTGAGACACTCACACCCCTGGGGACGCACAGTGAACCAGCTCAAACATCCAGCGGGTATTAAAAATCTTGCTTATGATTACCACATAATGTGAAAACATCTCTCTGTGATTCTGTCATGAAAAACTGGTTCAATATTTATACTCACAATTAACTAAATAAATGATGTAAATAAATTATATGATGTAATAAAATATATTAACAGCAGCTGGCTTTGGGTGGTGAGTCTTCTTTCTACTTTTCTATATTTTCCTTAATAAACATGTTTCACTTTTATTATTGGGGGGTGGGGGGAGCTTATGTAGCAGAGACCTGAGTTCTGGCACTTAAGAACTTTTCCATCAAAGTTGGGTGCCCTGCCGGTGTGGCTCAGTGGTTGAACGTCGACCTATGTACCAGGAGGTCATGGTTTGTTTCATGGTCAGGGGCACATGCCTGGGTTGTGGGATCCATCCCAAGTAGGGGCTGTGTAGGAGGCAGCCAATCAACAATTCTCTCTCATCATTGATGTTTCTCTCTCTCTCTCTCTCTCTCTCTCTCTCTCTCTCTCTCTCTCTCTCTCTCTCTCTTTCTCTCTGAAATCAATAAAAATATGTATATTTTTTAAAAGTTGAGTTGGGTCCATTTAGAAGGTTAACGTCATGCTGTATAGATAAGAGACGGGCACGAAATCTGTATAAGAATAAAAATTAAAACTAACACAGATTCATCCATTCTGAAAGACACCAATGTAACTCACACTGTCCTTTCCTCCACAGTATTTTCAGTTGGAGTTGCTAACTCAATTTCAAATCAATCTATACACAACATTACTCATCCTAGCAACCGCCTAACACCCCCGGCACACTGCGAGTCTGTAAACAGCAACTCTACTCATGTCTCCAGCCGCTCTAGGGCAGTCCTCCCCACGGCCGCTCGGGAACAGAAGTCAGAGCTGTCGCCTAAAAACACACCACGGGTCCCGTGATTTGTTTCCGCGAAGCAGCTTCGTCCTTTCGAGCTTCGCCGCTGTGCCCTGGGCCCGCAGTGACATGTAAAGCAGAACGTGACGCACACGGCCACAGGCAAACTCAGGTACAGGCAGCACACCTCAGGGCGTGGGGCCTCGGCTATTTCCTCTGCTCCCTGTGCGTTGCTTGGAAACGGACCAAGCCTAATAAAAAGCTGTGAGCTCAGTATTTTTTGTTTGTTTAAAGAAAGGCAGGGACAAAACGTGCTTCTTAAAGTACAGAGTGAGGTGAGGGAATGGGAGGAGAAATGCTTCTCTGTGCAGATTGAGGGTCAATCCAGCAGTCCTGCAGCCTGAGGCTCCGTCCCCAGCCCCCTTATCCGGAGGGGGAAGCAGGAGCGGTGCTCCCAGCGGTGCTCCCAGCCTCAGCGAGAGGCCCCTGACAAAGCCAGGGCCATCGAGACTGTTTTTACCAGAGGCAAGAGAAGAGATCCTTAAGGTCATGGACTGTACTGAGTTCTAATAGGAAATAATAGAGTTTTTAAATTACATTTAAAAGAATTTCAGATAATTCCCGGTGTATAACACAGAGGCCTATTGAAATGTTACTCCATTATCACATGTAATGCTACTCACAGAAGGAAGATAACGTTCTGCTACAGTTTTATATTCTCTAATCACCAGAGGGCTTAGCAATAAACTATCTTACCTGTGTGTGCAAAAGCACAGCGTCTCTGGGCCCACGAGCTTACAGTCCATCCCCGTGGGGGATCGCCAGCTCACAAACAATCTGTTCTGCAAGCGCATGGGTAAAACTCGGCTCTTGTATTCCTCATACTCTTCCGGAGTAAAGAGTTTCCCTCCATCGTCCTCACCCACAATCCTGCAACAACAAAACCCTCCTCTTGAGCCTTGGTTATTTATCTTCCCGGCTAAAAATATGATACTCTAAAGTTCTTTGGAGAGCCACATTTTTAAAACTTCAAAATAGACCCGCCCAGGCCGTGGTATTTTGTGGAGGAGCCACACTCAAGGGGCCAAAGAGCCGCATGGGGCTCGAGAGCCACAGTTTGCCAGCTATGGCCCTGGGAGCCTGTGGGAAACGCGGACCCTCAGGTCCACTCTGGACCATGAATCTGATCTGCATTTGGACCATGAATCTGCACTCTGGTCTGCACTCTGGACCATGAATCTGATCTGCATGAGGACTGTGGAATGCCATAAAGCGTGGCTGCACTGGGCCAGGACTTAGCTATAAGAGACCTCTTTTCTCAAAGACCTGAACTGATCTTTAAGTTCTTTTCAGTGCCTGCTGGTATACTTCTTGGTAGCTATAAGGACGTGAAACGGCTCAAAAACGATCTCAGAATAAAATGTCCCTTTGTCCTTTTTACTATTGTGGACCTAAATTATTTGAAGAAGAAGGTTGTGATGGTTCCATAGCTTCTGAACTGGTTTTATTTATAATATCTCCCCCAAGCTAACGGCTTGAACGTATGGAAGAAGGTATGGATTGTAGAACAAATTATGTGGCATTCTGCAAACAACACTTTTCAAGAGGATGTAGGCATTATTGCATCCCACAGTCCGCACGGGACTCAGCCAAATGCAGGTGCAGATTCATGGTCCAAGAGGACCTGAGAGTCTGCGTTTCCCACAGGCTCCCAGGGCCGTGGTTGGCAAACTGTGGCTTTCGAGCCCCTTGAGTGTAGCTCCTACACAAAATACCACGACCTGCGCGAGTCTATTTTGAAGTTTTAAAAATGTGGCTCTCCAAATAAATTTTTTTAAAATATATTTTATTGATTTTTTACAGAGAGGAAGGAAGAAGGATAGAGAGCTAGAAACATCGATGAGAGAGAAACATCGACCAGCTGCCTCTTGCACACTCCCTACCAGGGATGTGCCCGCAACCAATGTACATGCCCTTGACCTGAATCTAACCTGGGACCTTTCAGTCCGCAGACCGACGCTCTACCACTGAGCCAAACCGGTCTCGGCTCCAAAGAAATTTTAATCGTACTGTTGATATTGGCTCAGTGGCCTCATGGGTTTGCCAACCACCGCCCCGCGGGCTTCCTACTAGGCTGGTCCCCGGTTGCTACACTTTGAATCGCTGCAGGCTCTAACCCTCAAAGGGGGTTGTTCCAGTTCATTTATGTTTGGAAAAAAAAAATAGTTTTCCACCAGCCCCTGACATATTCGGGACCAAGCAAGGGACTACAACGGATGCCCACCATCTGCATATCTACACACCTACCTACCCAAGTTATCAGTCAACAGCAGGGCCGGCAACCTGGTCCCAGTGGAAAGCCCTGGAGACTTGGCGGCTAAGGAGCCAGTTCTGGAGGGGGGCGGGGCGAGGGTAGATACTGGGGGTGGGGGTGGGGGGGAGTTGAGGGAGGGTGTGAGCTGTTCTGGGCACAGCCTCCGGGCATTACCTGGACCCACCCGAACCCAGAAGGAGGCCTGGCCCATCATCCATCACGTTCCTCGCCCTCATTCTCCTGGCTCGGCATTCCCAGGCGCCCCCAGCCTCTCCCACCGGACACAGGCGGAGGGCGGGCAGCTGGGAAGCCCGTGGCACCCGACACTCCTGGGTTTCGCGGTCGGAGCTGTGATTCCGTCGCTGCCCGCTTATGTACACACCTTCCCCCGCTCCCACCTGCATCCTCCCGCCGTGAGACCCCGGCTCCCCGCGTCTCCCAACCGCCACGGACCCGCCCTGGGGCCCGAGAGAGGAGCCCGGCGTCGCAGGCGCACCAGACCTGGTGCGGGCCCCCGGGGCGGCTGCGGGTCCAGTTTGGGGGGGGGGGGGAGACTGATCCCCAGAATCCGAGACTCCAGCACCAGCCGGGGTCCCCCCAAACCAGCGCCTCGGGACGGGAGCGCGTTTGCAAGTTCGCGGCTCGCCCGTCCGCTACACCAACAGGCAAACGTCATGCCTGCTCCTCTGCCCCGGCCGGTTCTCCATGCGTAACTCGCCCCTGCCCGGGGGGCGGGAGGGAGGGAGGGTGCTGGGGGGCCGGGCCGCTGCGTGGACCTGCGTCCATCACCCCTCTGGGGGCGGAGGCGGGGACGTCGTCGCTCAGTGTCACTGCGATGTGTGGGTCTTGAATGACAGGGAGACGCGCTGGGCGTCCGCGGAAGCCGCCCAGCAGCCCGCCGGCGGACCCGCTCACCTCCGGTACTCCAGGTAGTCCTCCGCGGCCGCCGCGCCGCCCGCGGGCAGCGTCAGCCGCTCCATGGCGCCGGAGCCACTCCGACCCGGCCGCGCCGACAGGACCGCGGAGCGCCCCGCCGGCCCCGCCCCGGCCCCGCCCCCCAGGCCGCGCCCCCGCCCGGCCGCCTCCGAATTGGTCCTCCCCGTCTGGGCCCGCCCCTTCTTGGCCTGGCCACGCCCCCGGTATGGCCCCGCCGCCTCCGGATTGGTCCTCCCCGTCTGGCCCCGGCCCTTCTTGGCCTGGTCACGCCCTCGGTCTGGCCCCGCCCCCTGGTCACGCCGCCTCCGGGTTGGTCCGCCCCGCCTGGCCCCGCCCCTCCGACCGCGCCCCCGCCCTCGCCGCTCCGGATTGGTCCGCCCGGAGGCCCCGGTGACGCCGCAGGGCGCGTGCTCCCACCTGGCGGCCCGCTCGCGCGGGGAACCCGCTTTCTGCCAGCACAGCCCCGCCCCCCGGGATGCCGGCCCCCGCCCGCCCGCCGCACACCTTGCCCGCCTCTTTCTGGCGGGTCTCCCGGTAAAGGACCTGGACCAGCCCAGACCGGTTTGGCTCAATGGATAGAGCATCGGCTTGGGGACTGAAAGGTCCTGGGTTCGATTCCGGTCAAGGGCATGTACCTTGGTTGCGGGCATATCCCCAGTAGGGGGGGGGGGGTGTACAGGAGACAGCTGATCGATGTTTCTCTCTCACCAGTGTTTCTAACTCTCTAGCCCTCTCCCTTCCTCTCTGTAAAAAATCAATAAAATATATATATTTTTTAAATCGGTAGATACTAAAGATAGTGTGAATGGGTGATGATGTAAGCACCCAAGAAAGTTAAATGAAAAATAATGGTTTATTCACATGAATGATACTGCTAAATCAACACTTAGAAGCAATGTGAAGTTACACTTGACCTAGGAAGGCCTCACTGAAGATTCTAAACTCACTCTGAAAAAAATGTTTAAGAGATGCTGGCATTGGTAAAATCTAAAACACTCTAACTAAAAAAAAAAAAATCGTTATGGCTTAACTGCCTTATTTTAATATACACAAATATTACTGATTCATTTTAAATCAGAAACTGTAAGTAGACAAACTTGATCTGATTAAAGCACAAGTCTGACCACTGGCCAATCCCCTCCCAGCTCTCTAATCCAATCATGGATTAGCCGCTGTACAACGTGTCCCAGGCTTTTTCCGACTATGCCGTATGCATCTGGTCTGCTGCTCATGACATTAAACAGGTTTGAGGATGGTCACCTAGCATAACACAATAGGAAGAAGACAGGCCTCAAACTTGCTCCACACCTAGGTCTAAATCTTTTATCTGTAACCAAAATGTCTAATTGAGTGACAGATGATTATCAACTGTGACATTGCCAGAATAACAGAATAATCGTGAAAGTAATGTAAAGAAGTTCATGACAGGTTCACAAGAAGAACGTATAGTATAAATTTTTAAAATATAAGTAAAGGTATAGATGCACAGAGCAGAAAGTATAGAAAGGTTTAGTAACTCATTTTAACCAATATTCACCAAGCACCTATGCTGTGTCAGGCGGGTTGTATATGCCCAGGTTTTACAGTGAATGAAATGAAGTTCTTGCCTTCCTGGAGCTCATATTCTAAGAAGCATCAGGGGGGGGAAATTAATATACAATTTAATGTTATATACACCACAACTGTGAAAAAAAGGAAAAAGGGTAAGACTAATGTTAGAGGTATGCCATTTTAGGGAGGTGGTCAAAGACAACTTCCCTTAAGAAGTACCATTTGAGCCCAGCCAGCGTGGCTCAGTGGATAGTGTGTTGGCCTTCAGACTCAAGGGTCCCAGCTTCAATTCCGGTCTAGGGCATGTACATTGGTTGTGGGCACATCCCCAGTAGGGAGTGTGCAGGAGGCAGCTGATCGATGTTTCTCTCTCATCAATGTTTCTAACTCTCCTTCTTCCTTCCTCTCTATTAAAAAAAAAAAAATCAATAATACATATATATATATTTTTTTTAAAGATACTCCGAAATAAATTTGAAGATTTCTAGTTTCTTTAGTGATGTCTTATGTGCTAATAACCAATTAAGATTAACTTGCAATATAAATACTCAGGCATGACTTACAAAAACTTAAACTTCAACTTGAGGGTACAAAACCTAGGAAACTGCCTTCGATCACGTCCTCAGACTTGTTCCTATGAGCCCTTGCACTGTCTCTCCTAAACAAGACAGCCATCCGCTTCCCTCTTCTGAAAAAGTTATCTCAAGTTGGTGGAACAAACCCAAATTTTCTAAGATTCCTTTTAATCATTAACCAGTTATTAAATGCACAATCACCAGTAAAGAAAAAAACTTTGATAACACTTTGTAAGTACAAATAATATAGTTTATTTAATCCCTGAAAACAAAAACAAAAACAAAAAAAAAATGTCCACATCTAAAAAGAAAGACAGAACAATTATTCCTGGCAATGGTATATAATTCACTTCTTCACACAGAGTACAGAGAAAGTTTGGAAAGCTCCCTTTCATAAAATTTTTTCATACTTATTTTAATAAAACATTTTAATTATTGCTACTATGTGTGGTAGCATATTGCAATAATGAACAATGTAATATCCAAAACTAAATTCAATATAGTCTAAATCTAGAAGCTAGCTGCACTTGGCAGTTATTATAGAGAATAAATACTATGAAATATAGGGCACCATATGGCAATTAAATCTTCTACAAGGGACATTTAAATAAAGGTATCCTTTGTTCTATGCTAGGATTACCCAAGATTAGGATCTTCTGTGCTATATACATTAATTGTTTTCCTGAAAGAAGAGTCAATCTTCATAATTTATATTATATCTTAAATGTTTTTAATTATTTTAAGTGGTCATTACATAAAGTGAACATCTAATGTCTCTATTAAACAAATCCAAAATTTCATAAAGCAGGGTACTCTTATATAATGTTAACATTTTCCAAGTAATTTAATGTAGCACAAACACCTTCATACATCTATGCATCTGGCCCCAGTCTCACGAATGTCTCCATCTCCCTTCCCCTGCCAACATAAAGGCAAAATTATCCAAATATGGAAATAATGTGCTTCCCTGACAGAACAGACACTCAACGGGTTAAACTGTTAATACTTATTTTTATCTCATCATAAAAATATCATTTGTTTTCAGAATATATGTAAGAAAATGTTACATATGAGATTTGCAATTACTATCTTAAGGTTCTTTCATTGTCCCAATGTTAAGAATAGGTTACAGACAGTGGCTACTACCCATTTCAAGATTATTCTCATACAAATGTAATTTTTAAAAATATACAATAATTAACCTTCAGTTATTCTGAAGGACAGTGCAAATGAAGACATTCTTTGGGTCATGATTTCAAGACATTATTTTCAACATTATACTTCCTTGCTCTGCTCATCATCTGAGTCACAAAATATAGCACTGGAAATAAGCACACTTTTTAACAGTTATCAGTCTGAGATTACATATATTGAGAACAAATGACAGAATGATTCGATAACAATATTCTTCACTTGTCTGAAAAACGTTATATATTTAAATAAATATTTCCTAGAAAGGAAGCCGTGTCTTTCAGTGTGTTTATTTCAGCTTGACCTCAAACACAAAAGGTTTTCATAAAGATCACCTATCTGCATACCACATCAACCATGTTACCAAATTCCCTTTAAAGGATACAGTTCAGCATTGAAGAGCCTTGCCTGAAAGCAAACTAATAACTTTTAAAACTTTATATACAGAATAAGAGTTCCACGATTCTGGAATATTCCTTGAAAATGCAGAGTATCTGAAAAGTATTACTCTAGCCTAGCCAGCGGTTTGAAAGCGTTTCTGTCCTCGGATCTAATCCACGGGATGCGGCAGCACAAGGTGATCTTTAACTGTTATCTAATGTTGCCGGATGCATTGATCCTTTTGTGCGTGGTGACTGGCACCAGGTTCCCAGTAGTACCATTGGTAGTGTTGGTTGCTGAGCCATTCACAACAATATAGTCAACTTTGTTCTCTAGTTTCACCAACCGCTGTAAAATGTCATCCAGAAGGACAGCAATTGTTCTTTTTAGATCCGCTAGGGGGGGGAAAATCAAAATAAAACATATTAAACATTAGCATTAATATTTGTGTTTTCATAGTTTGAGGGGGAAAGTGAGCAATTACTACGTCATCTGAAAGGAAATATACTAGAAAGAAAGCACTCAGACCACAAATAGAAAAGGCCTAATTATTGTAATCAATAGCATCAGAGTTTAAGGGAATTTCAGTTTTATAAATATGGGGGGAACTTTCACTTTTCCAGTGCAATAAAACAGATTTAAGTCTGGTAAAAAAAAAAAAAAAAAAAAAAAAATTAATCCCACCCAGCCAGTGTGGCTCAATGGTTGAAGGTCGACTTGTGAACCAGGAGGTCATGGTTTGATTCCTGGTCAGGGCACATGCCCAGGTTGAAGGCTCAATCCTCAGTAATGGGCACACAGGAGGAAGCCAACTGATGTTTCTTTCTCATCATTGATATTTCTATCTCTCTCTCCCTCTTCCTTCCTCTCTGAAGTGAATAAAAATGTATGTTTTTAAAACACAGTTTATAAAATATCAGGTGTGGAGGGTCTCATTTTTGCTTTTAAAACTGAGTTGTCATACAAAGCTGGGCAGCACAACATAGACAGCTCTACTTTTCAAAATATCACAGTTATTTTGCTCAAGTAGAATGAATTTTGTTTTCAAGTATTTCTCTTGTTCCAGGAGAATTGCTTCTTCACTGTTGGACTAAGCAGAATGTAAAACAGTATAACCTGCATCTACATCGACCACAAGTACACCAATCTCAATGCATGCCAACTCCTTCAACTCTGGTCACCTACATTTGACCCTCATCATCTCATAAAAACATCATCAAAGGGAGAAGAAAAAATGGAAATGCCTTTTATCTAGGGCATTCCCAGATAAAGATGATAAACAAAGGCATTTCACCTCTGGTTACTCTGAATAAGCCACCAAAACAATGAAGGTGTTTTTTTCTTTTTCTTTTTTAAACCCAGGAGGCCAAACTTAACAAGAGGAGACAATAGCAACAAAATTCCAGAAGCTGAAAAGCAGATGAGCACTAACTGACTTAGCAGACTTGAAAACATTGGACTTTGAAAGAGGAAAAATACCAAGAAGCAATTTGATTTTCTCCTCCGAACCCCACCCTAAAAGGCCCAGGACCAACTACCAATAAAAACATGGGTAAAGAAGGAATTAAAACAGGACTAGCCCTAGCCGGTTTGGCACAGTATATAGAGTATCAGCCTGAGGACTCAAGAGTCCCAGGTTTGATTCCGGTCAAGGGCACATGCCCGGGTTGTGGGCTTGGTCCCCTGTAGGGGGAATGCAGGAGGTGGCCAATCAATGATTCCCTCTCATCAATAAAAATATATATTTTTTAAAAACAGGATTAGATGAACATTTATAAAGCAATTTGATTCCTACCACTCCAAAATTGAAAGAAAAAAAAAAATTGCAAAGCCCCTCCCCATTGCAAAAATCTCATGTATTTTCTGAGGCTTGTAAGCAGTTGAGGGCCTGGGGACCACACTGAACACTGTGGGTATAGTTTACATAGGAAGTGCTCAGGCTACCCCTTCTCCCGTCTCTTCCTCTCACTCAGGCCCAGAACATCTGGGAGACCTATACTCTTTCTCTAGGGAATTTGACTAGGTCAAGAGGAAAGACCTAAATACACTAAGATTCGGGATGCCCCAAAGAATACAACACATTGTAGAATAAAAAATTAGCTGGGCTTTATCACGGATTCCTGGGAGGTAGCTCTAACCACTTGGAATTTCCTGAGTGGTAAAGAGACTGTTACTCATAGTGGGCCTCGGTGACTACACCTGATAGTTTATATTACTAATAAGATGTCTCAGGGCCCTCGCTGGTTTGGTTTGGTAAATAGCGCATCAGCCTACGGGATGAAGGTCCTGGGTTCAATTCTGGTCAAAGGCATATACCCGGGTTGCAGGCTCGAACCCCAGTTGGGGGTGTGCAGGAGCAGCCAATCAATGAGTCTCTCTCATCATTGATGTTTCTATCTCTCTCTCTCTCCCTTCTTCTCTGAAATCAATAAAAATATGTATTTAAAAAGAATCAGACATAATACTACAAAATATTAATAATTATTAAAATGATGGATATATGAATATCATTATTTCTTTTTCAGTACAATTGAATTTTTCAAAATAAAAAGCGAAGAAAACATTATTTGTAAAGTCCTATGCACTAAGAAGAGTTAGACTTCCATGACTATCTTTGTTTCTTTTTCTATGACTATCTTTAAATAAGGATAGGTTCAAGAAAACTAGAAATAGTCTACGTTAACTTACCATATCCTGCCATTGAAGCGCCATTCTCAACGTCCATTGTGTTCTTATTTTCCTCTGCTAGAGCTTTAACGTATCTTTTGCTTAAATCTAGTATTTGTTCACGTAACTTGACACTGCTTTGATGTCTTGGTTGTTGAAAAGTATAGTGCAGTAACATCAATCCCCAAATGAATCCAAATACAAGCAACAGTAAACTCAATTTCTGGGACATATTTTTTCTGGAGATTGAAAAAATCATTTCTCCTGAAGCAAACAGCCTAAGCTGAAAAGTGGTAACTAGAGGCAAGCCACCAATCAAGATTTCTGAAGGGAAAAAAAAATTCCCTCCTCCTCCTCCTCTGCTAATATGGTATATTCTTCATCTTCAACAAGATTGCCTCCAGCTTTCAATTTCCTCTGTAAAACTGAGAAGAAAAAAGGCCATTAGTCATAACCTGTATCAGTAACAGAATAAACAATGACATATTTAAGAAGAGTTTCTATAAATAGTTTTGATTTGGAACTATGTCATCTTCTTTGCCTACTTTCTCCACCACTCAGATCTTTATCAGTTTCCTTTACATAGCTCTTCAAAAATTTAAAACAGAAATGTCGATTCATTGAAAATATCTCTTTAAAATACCATCATAATTATAAAATTCTTTGAATGACTTCTTTTCATTTATAGCTAAAATTATGAATGTAAGATTTATAGGAGATTTCAGTCTATTCATAACAGGTCACCAATCTAAATGTCCAAAAACTATTTCTGCTCCTCTTAAAAAAAAAAAAAAAAAAAAAAGTAGATGCCAAATTTAAAGTTAGAAATGAGGAAAAATAAAACACTGGAAAATCAAAATACCTGTCTGACTTAAAAAAAAAAAAAAAAAAAAAAAAAACCAACTACAATATAAGTAAGTGTGCCAATATTTGAAAATGTCACTAGAAGATATTGCTAACGGCAATTAAAGAATCTTAAGAAGCATTAATCATAAGATTAAATATAAGTCATAATAAATGAATTCTGCAATGTAGTAGGATTCAAAATTAACGCCTAGAAATATATGGCATTTTTATACACCACTTACAATCCCTTTTACCATTGCACCAAAAAAATTAAGATACCTAGGAATAACCTTAACTAAGGAGGTAAAAGACCTCTACTGGGAAAACTACAGGACACTGAAAAAAAGAGATAGAGGAAGATATAAACAGATGGAAGAACATATCATGTTCATGGATTGGTAGAATCAGCATCATTAAAATGTCCATACTACCCAAAGCAATCTATAGATTCAATGTACTCCCCATTAAAATATCATCAGCATATTTCATAGACCTAGAACGAACTTTCCAAAAATTCATCTGTAATAAAAAAAAAAAGACCCCAAATAGCTGCAGCAATCCTGAGAAAGAACAAAGTAGGTGGGATCTCAATACCAGATTTCAAGCTATACTACAGAGCCACTGGTCTCAAACTGCCTGATACTGGCACAAGAATAGACATATAGATCAATGGGATAGAAAAGAGAACCCAGAAATCGAACCAAATCACTATGCTCAATTAATATTTGACTAAGGATGCAAGAGCATACAATGGAATCAAGACAGTCTCTTCAATAAATGATGTTGGGAAAACTGCACAGATACATGAAAAAAAAAAAAAAAAGGAAACTAGACCACCAACTTACACCATACACAAAAATAAACTCAAAATGGATGAAGGTCTTAGACATAGGACGGGAAACCATAAAAATCTTGGAAGAATCCACAGGCAGAGAAATCTCAGACATATGCCGAAGCAATTTCTTCACCGATACAGCTCCTAGGGCAATGGAAACTAAAGAGAAAATAAACAAATGGGACATCGAAATTAAAAGCTTCTGCACAGCAAAAGAAACCATCAACAAAACAACAAGAAAGCCCCCTGCATGGGAGAACATATTTACCAATGTTATCTCCGATAAGGGCTTAATCTCTAACATTTTCTGGGAACACATACAACTTAACAAAAGAAAAATAATCCAATTTAAAAACAGGCAACGAACCAAAACCGGTTTGGCTCTCAGTGGATAGAGCATTGGCCTGCAGACTGAAAGGTCCCAGGTTCGATTCCGGTCAAAGGCATGTATCTTGGTTGCGGGCACATCCCCAGTAGGGGGTGTGCAGGAGGCAGCTGATCAATGATTCTCTCTCATCAATGTTTCTAACACTTCTTCCCTCTCTTTCCCTCTATGTAAAAAAATCAATAAAATATAAAAAATATATTTAAAAAAATAAAAATAAAATAAAATAAAAATGGGCAACGAACCTAAATAGACACCTTTCAAAAGAGGGCATACAAAAGACCAAGAGATATATGAAAACATGCACAAACTCACTATCAAAATGACAATGAAGTACCATCTCATACCTGTCAGAATGGCTATCAACAAATCAACAAATGACAAGTGCTGGTGAGGATGTAGAGAAAAAGGAACCCTCGTGCACTGCTGATGGGAATGCAGACTGGTGCAGCCATTATGGAGAACAGTATGGAGTTTCCTCAAAAAAATAAAAATGGGACTCCCATTTGTCCCAGTAATCCCACTTCTAGATTATATCCCAAGAAACTAGAAACACCAATCAGAAAGGATATATTTACCCCTTCGTTCATAGCAACACAATTTACCATAGCTAAGATTTGGAAACAGCCTAAGTGCCCAACAGCAGATGAGTGGATTAAAAAAACTGTGGTACACCTACACAATGGAATACTATGCTACTGTAAAAAGAAAGGAACTCCTACCATTTGCAACAGCATGGATGAACCTGGAGAGCATTATGCTAAGCGAAATAAGTCAGTCAGAGAAAGATAAATATCACATGATCTCACTCATTTGTGGAATATAGTGAACAACATAAACTGATGGACAAAACAGTTCCAGAGACAGAGAAGCATCGATCAGACCATAAAACCTCAGAGGGAAGACAGGGGAGGGTTGGGGAAAGGGGGAAGAGATCAACCAAAGGACTTGTCTGCACACATATAAGCCTAATCAATGGACACTAGGGGGGTGAGGGCATGAGCAGGTGAATAGAGGGGCAATGGGGGGGAGAAGGAGGACACATATGTAATAACTTAATAAAAATTTTTTTAAAAGAAAATAATAAGTTCTAAGTTTATACATCTAAATTTAACACTTGCCAGACATAATGACAATTGTTAAAACAGGTTAATTTTTTTTAATATTTTCAAATTTACAATTCTAAATTTTAAATGATGCAGGTATGCATTTTTATAATTTAAAGAAAAAAAGAAAAGGTTATACTTCAATTTTTTAAGAGAGAAGAGAAAGGTGATGATAATTACAGCATCTACAGCAGCAGTTCCTAACCTGTGGGTCGGCCTGTGGAATAAAGTTATTAAGCATGTTTAATTTAATGTTGAGAACCGCTATAGGGTCGCCTAAGGCCATCAGAAAACACAGATATTTACATTACGATTCCTAACAGCAGCAAAATTACAGGGATGAAGTAGCAACGAAAATAACTCTAAAATAACGACATGAGGACCTGTATTCAAGGGCCGCGGCATTAGGAAGGTTGAGAACCACTGCAACCCATGTTCATCCTCTAACTCTCAGGGCACATCACTTCATACGAACTGATTTCATCCCATCGCATGTGAGGCCTGTCTCCTTAAGTCTCAGGTCCCTTAAGGGTAGCATGCCCTCACTGCCGCCACCAACCCCACCGGCCTGGTGAGCACTCGGCAGAGACGCCTTATAGTTAGCTCACTTGGAGCACATCCCGAGCCTAACCCACCTCCTCCCACGCAGCTGTATAACCTCCCTGCAGTGCTTTTTGGGTCGGGAGGGGCAGCGGAGACAGGAATTTTGAGATAAAACTAAAGTGTTTTCAATCATCCATTTCTAGGCTGGAAGAACCTAGGAAGAAATCTAATCCAATCCCCTCATATTTCAGATGAAGAAACCAACGCCCAGAAATGTTAAGTGTCTTAGAGCCTAAAGTGACACGGTTTGTGGAAAAAACTGTACTGGTCCAGATCGCAGGTCCTAATTCACTATTAGGTTCTTCTCTATACCACCTACCTCCCTTGCCTCCACTGAAAGAGTAGTGACATTAAGTGAAGCTTGTTATTTTTTGCTTTAAAAGAATATAACCAGAAGCCCTAACCAGTTTGGCTCAATGGATAGCACATCGGCCTGAGGACTGAAGGGTCCCAGGTTCGATTCCGGTCAAGGGCATGTACCTTGGTTTCGGGCACATCCCCGGTAGGGGGTCTGCAAGAGGCAGCTAGTCAATGTTTCTCTCTCATTGATGTTTCTAGCTCTCTACCTCTCTCCCTTTCTCTCTGTTAAAAATCAATAAAATATATATTTTTTAAAAATGTAATCTTATTGGTGTTTTCTAACATGAAAGGGGCAGTGGCTAGATGGGGTGTGGAATAAAGTCTAGGTAGCAATCCACTGTCAGGTTAATTGATCATTGTTATTAAGCAGTTTTAATTGAATGTTTTCAGACTCTACAATATTCCTTGTTAAAGAACACAAACATATCAAAAACAAAGAACCTGGGGAAATTATTTTCCTTATTTTTATATTTATTACTGGACTTAATGTCCCCACTCCAATTTGCAAAACCTTTGGAGATCCTTAAAGCTCCAACGATCTGGTTTAAGTTTTACTGTGTCACTTGCCAAACAGCAAACAGCAAACAACTAGATATTTAAGCAAATTGTCAGTGGCTTCCCCCTATCCAGGACAAGTACATTAATCTAACGCTATTACTAAGGACAAAAAAGACAGATTGTCAGTGAATATTTAAATTAGAACACTCATAAACATAATGAGATGCACAAAGAGAACTGGCTACCCAACATCAAACAAAAGGGGGAAATGAGGCATCCAAACTTTCAACCCAGGATTCCAATGTTTTCCAAAAACAAGAAACAAAATCAACTTAATAGTTTGCAACTGGCACTTGTTTAAAAAACAAGATAAGCTCAGTGGTAGAGCATCGGTCTGCAGACTGAGGGGTCCCGGGTTCTATTCCGGTCAGGGGCATGTGCGTTGGTTGCAGGCACATCCCCGGTGGGGGATGCACAGGAGGCGGCTGGTCGATGTTTCTCTCTCATCGACGTTTCTAGCTCTCTCTCTCCCTTCCTCTCTGTAAAAAAATCAATAAAATATATATTTTTTTAAAAAAAAAACAAGATAAAATAGAAACCTTCAGAGTAGACTGCGCCCACTACAG